AGTTGTTTGGTCCCCTACGTCTTAATGTCTTACAAAAATAATTATGAAATATGTCAGAACATATCCCATGATGCAACAAGTATCCCTTACACTTTCAGTGTTTCCACAAGAGGCCCTATAGTGGGTGTCAGCGTAAACTGTCTGCTACAGATCAACTACAGTACTTGCACAGGGAAGAAATTGTTATTTAGAACTAGATCTATCTGAATACTTATACTGAACATAAAAACTGCACAGACATACAAAGATAATTTCAGGATTGCATCTGTCAAATGCAAAGTGCGATTAGAATTATGACGGAACCAGTATCATTGTGTAAAGAATGATCACAGATAACCTACCGTTCAAAGGTTTGGGGTCAGTAAGATTTTTTTTTTTTTAAGAAATTAATTTATACTTTTATTCAGAAAGTAAGCATTAAATTCATCAAAAGTGACAGTAATGACTTTCACAATATTACAAAATCCTGAAAAAAAGTACCACTGTTTCCACAAAAATATAATGCGGCACAACTGTTTTCAACATTTATAATAAGAAATGTTTGTTGAGCACCAAATCAGCATATTAGAATGATTTCTGAAGGATCATGTGGCAACGAAGACAATTACATTATTAAAAACTGGACAAAAATATAAAGTTTTATCTGATTAAAAAAAAGAATTAAATAGATTAATAAATGTACAGTAAAAATATCATTAATGGTTTGGCACTTTTTTATATCTTTATTAAAAAAAAAACCCTTATATTATCTGGTTCCAATCAGCCTAATGCTCATAAAAACACACTAATATTTCCTGATAACGATATGGATACAGATATATTATGGATCCCCAATAAAAACTAGTTTGTAAAATTAGATAACTTCGAAGCAAAGATAATAAAGTTAAGAAGAATACAAAGGAAAAATTCAAAAGCTTGCATTTACCTGCCTTGGGCTCATCCATAGAGAAGGCCTTATTTTCCATATATACGCTCTGTGCACTTTGCTCCTTCAAAATGTTCTCGTACCCTCTGCTGGGGTACAGATTTTCCTCAACAGCTGCATCTTCATCTTCCTCACTCAGGCTACACACCGCCGGCACCGTGTGGAGTAGCAGAAACACCCATGCGTTTGAAACCAATGCTATAGCCAATGTGGGATCATCCCATGTCGGCCCACCGTTCTTTGCATTCCCATACACATACATGACAATCCACGCCACCCAGATGCCCACCGAAAACAGTCCTGTGACCAGGATGAGGGCTCCATCTTTGCGCCAACGCTTGTGCTTGCCTGCCAATATGGGTACGGATGCCACCACAACCGCCAATAGTAGATTTAGAACATAAATGAGCGCCATGACAAAATCCTGGTTTTCGATATTACAGGGAACAGCAGTAGCAGAAGCCAGAATTCCGGTGACATTAGTTGGGTATCGCACAATAGTAATGATTAGCCATTCGGTGTTGATGACAACTTCTACCAGCCAGAGCCCCAGAGCCCCCAAGCACCAAACCCAACCTCTGGGTGCCGAATTCCTCCTGGCCAGTATGTTCAACCTCACGGCTTGCATGAGAAGGCAAGAGAAGCAGCCAGCGAACAGCACACCGAACAGAAAGCGGCGTGACGCACATGTGGCGAAGTTCTTCCCAACAATGAAGGCGAATGTGAGGGCGAACAGTCCAAATGTGAAGATGACGAATCCTGTGTGAAGCCCTAACGAACTGCGCCACTTCCTGTCAGTGACGAAGGGAAGGCTGGCTAGCAGCACAATCAGAAGAATCAGGGTGGCCACCAAACCAGTTGCTGCAAATGACTCAACTACAACACCCCAGACTGCAGTCAGGTCACAGAGGTTGAAATACAAGGAGTCCACATCATCTCCACAGCCCCTGGGGATTGAAGTCTGGCCCAGTGATCCAGGAAAGACGCATAGAGTGATGAAGAGCAGAAGATGAAAATGTTGGGATTTGGAAGTGAGGTTATCCATGGTTTCCAGCACCTAAGAGAGAAAAGCAAGAATGAGCATACAATTAAGAGTCACAAGATACTGAGTGATATTGGCTCAAAATCCTCCCCTTACACACCCAGTAAGGGAGTGACAATGTCAAGATCGTAACAACATCAAAGCCATTAAAATTTCACTCACAGGTTCATGCTCCACAAGGGAGGCCCACCCTGGCCATTAGGTTGGCTCTCTAAAGGTGTGAACTCTCTAGACTTTGAGCATGCAAAATTACTTCGGACATTGCAATGATTATGGGCAACAGGATTACATAATTTAGATCATGATTTAATTTAAATTAAATATCTTAATGTAAAATATCTTAATGTTTTCTAAATTATTGTGAATATATGTGTTGTCATATGAACAAACAGGCAGTAAACAGACTGATTTAAAACTCACAAACCTAATGTGCACATCATTCTACAGATTCCTGGTTCATTTTGAATCAGACATGTCCAAAAAATGAATCGTTTAGTGAGGAATTCAGTTATGATCTCATTCATGATTCACTGCCTGAATGGGTCTGATTCATCTAGTGTGACCGCACATGAAGAGCAAAAATTAATCATTAAGAGCAGGATCATTAAGTGTAGCATTTCTACACTTGGAGCTTATGCAGATTTGTCTGTTAATAATTAATTTGACTTTTAAAAAATATTGATTTTCTTAGTTCCACTTTCAAAACCTTGAAGTGATATCAGGTAGTGAAAAATATACAAAATCTGATACTTCCCCTCAAGAACAGCTACAGTACAGTTTGTGCTTTACTGAAGCCAGGTGTTTTCATATGAGATGGATAAAGACTACTTATATTAGTACATAAACCTAATTTGTTTGACTCTTGCACTGGAAGAACTCTCTCTGAAAATCACAACATTAACACAGGCATACAAGGTAAAAAGGTGGCTGAACAGATGAACACCATGTAGGGCCTTAAAAATAAACATAACATGAACTCAAGGTCTGGGAGTTGTTCACCTGCTGGATGGTTGAAACAAGGAGTTCTCTAATGTTATAGCCAAGCTCCAGCAGAGGATTACAGTTTTTCAGCATTACGTTTCTTATATTCTACCATAAATGTTAACAATATATCTATTCATGAAACATTCAACAAGCATTCTATTATTTTAAGTTCTAAACTAGAATAAGGAGAAATAAAAGTCAAATGGCTTGTGGGGTTTTTCACATTCTTGGGAAATAGTTCCAGTGAAGAATATTTATAATGCGTTCCTTGTAGCTCTTCCTACTGTTGTACTTAATGTACATACTATGCTCTTTCCTTCTTTGAAAATAAATTAAAATAGCTTTAACATAGAGTAGCCTACCTATATTTAGAATATTCAACACACATCCACTCAAATATACTGTATAGTGCTAACAGAAACATAAAAGGTAGTGATTAAATATGACATCATGAAACGTTTTAGCAAGGTTTAAACGCATTTTTCGTTCTTTTCGGCATTTTATCCATGCAATTAAACGAACTCATTTTGACATACAGCCGTTTGAGCCAATCACATCATTCAGTCCGCTACACCGCACCAATCAGAGCGCAGCACAGGCAGGCATTCGTGTCTGTGACTGACTGGGCGTCTCACCTGAGCAGGTGAACAAAGATTCTCTTTATTGCTTAAATATAACGGGATAATTTGACAGATGAAGCTGAATTTGAGTTGATTAATATCCCTAATAGCATTAATAAAACCAAAGTAAAACATGTGCAACAAAGTAAAACGTGACTGGGTGGTGTCTATATAATCGTGTTATTTTCACCAACACATTCATAAACAAAACAAAGCACATGCACATTTATGAAAAAAAAAAACAACTAAAGCACATGCAATTAATATCAAAAAAGCTACAACGAACACAAATTAAAGTACAAACCACAAACATATTGTAAAAGTGCAAATCGGTTTACGAAATCACGGAGATGCACAAGAAAATAACAAAACTAGCTCACCTTTTAGAGTCAGACGTAGATACTGCGTGGTTTCTCTGTCACTCTTTGGTATATGAGCACAATTTACCTATTCCAGCAAGTGCATGAAAATAAGTAAGCCATCGCGACGCCAGAATGTGCCAGAGAGCTGAGGTGAGGTATTAAACCCTGACGAATAAAAAAAAATCAATGTTCCCTTTGTATTCCAGGCAAACAAACCTTCAAAAAGCTTCAAGGATAGTCGAGGGCAAACACTTGACGAGTTTTGATAGCTTTCAGCCGCTAGTGATGTGACTCAAACTCTCAGTTTCTCGCGCGCGCACACACGCATGCCATGCACGTCATACACGTCCCTCTCGAGCTCGCTTGCTCTCTTCTTCTTCTTCTTCTAATAACGTTTTATGGCGGATGGCAAACCAACTTATGGTGCCTCGCTTGCTCTCGCTTTCACTATCTGGAAAAAACAAACAGAGAGGGAAAGTATCATAGTAACACCTTAGTGAGCTACTTATGGTGGAGTTAATATTTTGTCTGCTTTAAACAAAACAAAGCACATGCACATTTATGAAAAAAAACAAACAACTAAAGCACATGCAATTAATATCAAAAAAGCTACAACGAACACAAATTAAAGTACAAAACACAAACATATTGTAAAAGTGCAAATCGGTTTACGAAATCACGGAGATGCACAAGAAAAGAACAAAACTAGCTCACCTTTTAGAGTCAGACGTAGATACTGCGTGGTTTCTCTGTCACTCTTTGGTATATGAGCACAATTTACCTATTCCAGCAAGTGTATGAAAATAAGTAAGCCATCGCGACGCCAGAATGTGCCAGAGAGCTGAGGTGAGGTATTAAACCCTGACGAATAAAAAAAAATCAATGTTCCCTTTGTATTCCAGGCAAACAAACCTTCAAAAAGCTTCAAGGATAGTCGAGGGCAAACACTTGACGAGTTTTGATAGCTTTCAGCCGCTAGTGATGTGACTCAAACTCTCAGTTTCTCGCGCGCGCACACACGCATGCCATGCACGTCATACACGTCCCTCTCGAGCTCGCTTGCTCTCTTCTTCTTCTTCTTCTTCTAATAACGTTTTATGGCGGATGGCAAACCAACTTATGGTGCCTCGCTTGCTCTCGCTTTCACTATCTGGAAAAAACAAACAGAGAGGGAAAGTATCATAGTAACACCTTAGTGAGCTACTTATGGTGGAGTGAATATTTTGTCTGCTTCATCTGTCTATCCACACAGCACATTACAAGAGCCATTACTAACTTTACTATAGGCTCTGGTAATTTGAGGCCTCAATGCTTGCTGCTTAGCTTAATTTGCTCTACTACCCCAGCACCAGCCTACACAGGTAACGCTGACAATAGCTTTTTCTCTTTTGTTGTGTGCTTTCTTCTGGGTCTGAACAGAGATGAAAAGACAATCTGAACTTTAAAAAGAATCGAGGCAAAACGAAGACTCAAATGGAATCTTCCCTTGCTTATGCTGCCCATTTAAAATATGCCAAAACTCGTATTATATGCTCAAAACACATTACTTGTTTGTCTCTGCAGTGTTACAAACCTATATTGATATTACAAATCTATATTTATGTGATCTACGTTTCACATTTACAAGCAGAAAAGTAACAGGTTCAAAACTTAATCATGTGGGAATTGTATATTTCTAAAAGTGTGTGTACATTGCCACCTAGTGGAAAATCATTATATAATCATTACCTATTCATCTCGTGGAACTTGCTCGACTGCTCACGAGTGAGCACTACTACTCAAATTTTCTACAGATTAATCTAGTGGGTTTGATATTTTTCCACATGTACTGTGAAATATTGTTTTCTTCTGCAATTCCCGTATTGTTTATTCCAGCAGTGACAAGACAGCATGGGAGCAACCTGTGGTCAGATGTCTTGCTCAAGGTTACATCTTGATCCCCTTTTGCTCTACCTATACAGCCTTATATTTATTTATCTGATTGCAGCTCAATACAGCTGCATATGCTGTTTTATATATACATCTTAATCTACATCTGGTTGTATTGTGTAGTATACTATATAGAGGAATTTGTCCATTTCTGTTATAATTATGATATACTGGAGACGGAGAACTAGCAGACTCATTGTTTGTTTTCCTGTCTGGTGTGCTGTTGGAGTGTGAGGTGTGATGTGTTCTGCTCACGTTCCAGGATACTGTATTGCACAGTGTGTTTTCTTTCCTTTTTTGACAGCAAGAAGGAAAGAACGGGAAAAAAAGTCAAAGAAACCTCAGCACGTATCACAACTGATCTTATAGGCTTGAATTTTGAATGCTTCCATCACTGAAATGCAACAGCTTTAAGTTTGAGTGCTTTTATTTTATTTTTGAAGGACTCCAGACAAATAGACCCTCATAGACATATAATTTCCTATCAGTATGATCGAAATTTAAAAACAATTAATCAGTTATTATCAGTGCACATATTTGATAATACAACTGAAGAAAAGCTTGTGTGCCACAATGTAAAGTTTAAACCATGAACAATAACACAACTTCTTTAAGGGGCAGTATCATGCTAGTGCCATACGCCATTTTGTGAGGATATCTGTAAAGTTCAGCAGTTATCCTCTTACGCCACATCACACAGAAACATGTTTAGTGACACAAGATCAAGTCATATTTCACAAAAGAAAAGGCAAAATATATCACGTTACATCATTGATGAACAGTTTGGCAGTTCTCTATCTGCCAGACATCACCAAAAAAACGTTTAATTTCATTAAATTATCTGCTGTAGATCATTTAAAACCATCAACATGGAATCACAATCAACCCCATTTATTTTTTATACATTCTTGGTCTTATTGTGCATGATTTAGTGCACATTAATCAAAAGTTTAAAAAAATGTCTTAATCTTACAGTGAATTCAGTAAGAACGCCATCTGCCATCCTTGCTTATGGGAACCACAGACATTTTTTAGCCAGTTTAGTTAGAATACATAGCTACTTTTAGATCCACACTAAGCAGACAAATTTTAACCTCTTGAAACTGACAGAAAACTGTGGCATAAAACTCCTACTTTTCATAATCCAATCAATTTTTTTTTCGAAGTTTATTGACTTACTGGAGTATGTTTTACAAAATAAAATAAAAAATACTATTTCAGTCTTTCCACTTCTAAATTTCACATTTTATTCAATGTATTTCTTGCTGTTTCTTTGTAATTATCTGTGAAATTTACTAGCAATTTCTGAGTGAACATATTAAATGTTTCAAACTAAATCCTACACCTTTTTTTCCAGTGTACATGGTTGTGAATGTCATTTCATGTTGAGTGGCAAAGTGGCAAAACGGATGCATTCATCAAGGACGAAACCATGTTCTGCAGCTGCATAAGGCTAAGCAAATCTAAAGCTGACCTCAAACAGACCAGGTTATTTATTGTCTTAAATATTCAGACTCTTTCTTGTGCTGTCAGCAGTCTGCTCGTATTAAGGCTTTAACGATAGATGTGCTTTCTACTCAGGCATCTGTGTTTGTGATGCAGCGGGGGACTTTTTTCAAAGAGACAACATCTGATAACATCTGCAGGGCCAGAGGCTCCCTCTCTCACAATTGAGAAAGGGGAGAGAGAGCAAGAAAGAAAAAAGGAAAGAGACACAGGATGCAACACTGGGTGCTGAGAAACACAAGTGCACTAAAAGGACAAGCGAAGAGTTCATAACTAAAGCTCTAGATAATAAGTGCGTTAGTTATTTTTTTAAAGGTTAAAAACGTTCATCTCTAATTCACCAGAATAATTAAGTCAAAGCTTTCAATGTACCTTTTAGCCAAAAGTATGCCTCATTAAATCACTAGTCATAAAAAGGCATTTAAAACAAATTTAATTATCATTTGTAAAGTCAAGGACTGATATAATTGACTCTTGCAGTCTCTCTTCCATCAGATTTATTCAGATTTAAACTCAATGGGAAAATTGACGCACAGGCTTTTAAAGTAAAAATACATTTTATATACAACTGGTAAGTGTGTACGTGAAAACATCAAGACTTTGGTAATTGTATCACATATTTCATTGCATTTAGATTGAGCTGAATCTGAAGATCTGAATCTGTTCTTCTTAAGTACATGCTGGCAAGTACTGCATGATATCTGATCAGATAACAAATTACAGAGTAATATAATTGACCCCAGCACATCTCTGGTGATCCTGGTGAATCCTAGCAAATGGAAATTTTTGTTGTTGCTGCATGGGTGCACAGAAGCTCAAGGCTGGCTTTGTTCAGCAGTTCAGCCCGAGCTCCTCAGATGGCTCTGTTTGTACAGCGGTGTCTTCACTCATGTTCCCACGTCGAAGCCCCTTTTAAAGCCTCATCCAGTCGCAATGCACTGAAAATAAACATCTAAGCCAGCGAGTGCAGTTTGCACACTGGGGTTAAAAAGGTCAGCCATCTTGCTTTGCTTCATGGGCTCTGAAAGGGTTTAATTTAGTCATGCAACATAACCTACAACTGCAAGAAAGTTCTCAATCAGAACATTATGAACAATTATTATGAACATTATGGAACCATGTCTTAAGTTTGATCAGAAAATAAAATGCTAATTACATTCAAATGGAAAATTACATAGTGTATAGTGCATTAAGATGTCTTGAGTAGATTTAATATGGCTTCAAATCTACCAAAAAATATTTTATAGTACGGAATGATAGATCATAAATTAATGAGACAAGACTGTTACTGAAACACTATTTTATGTGTTTAAAGAACTTCATTCATCTGCAAAATGAGCAACATTTATAAAAACACTAAATACATGACACATATTCTTACAATATCAAAATACAGTTAAATGGAAAAAATTAACTCAAAAATAATATATATCTGCCATCATTTACACATCCTTGTTATTCTGAATCTGTATCGCTTTCTATCTACAAATGTTTTAACTGTTTGGATCACTCATCCTATTTTTGATGTCAATGTGACATGGCCATAATCATAGATGTCAAAACTCATGTAATATGTGTTGGTGTCATATTTAAATGTATGCAAATTTAAAGATACTTAAGGCTTTTCATATAATTAATTAAATTTCAGCAGTTTTCTCACACAAAGCTATCTTGTATGTGACCCTGGACCACAAAACCAGTCATAAGGGTCAATTCGAATTTGAGATTTATACATCATCTGAAAGATGAATAAATAATCTTTCCATTGATGTATGGTTTGTTATGATAGGACAATATTTGGCCCGAGATACAACTATTTGAAAATCTGGAATCTGAGGGAGCAAAAAAATACTGAGAAAATCGCCTTTAAAGTTGTCCAAATGAAGTTCTTAGCAATGCATATTACTAATCAAAAATGAAGTTTTAATATATTTACAGTATGAAATTTACAAAATATCTTAATGGAACATGATCTTTACTTAATATCCTAATGATTTTTGGCATAAAATAAGTTTGACCCATACAATGTATTTTTGGCTATTGTTACAAATATACCCCAGCGACTTAAGACTAGTTTTGTGCTCCAGGTTCACATATGGCTTTAAAACACCAGTTTTGCGATACCTTTATGCGTTTTTTTTTTGGGGGGTCATTGTGGCGCTTGATAGCATGCATCACTATTTACTTTCATAATATGGAAAAGTGTGTTCCACCTGTGTTTCACAAAAGAAGGTTGGACCAACACAAAGGTGTATAAATGATGACGGAGTATTCATATTTCAATCTGTTCCTTAAAAGGATAGCCATTTATGGAAAATGACAAGATATAATGCTCATTTGATGAGCCTATCTTTGTTTCATAAATACTGTAGTATGCTTTCTGGTCCCCGCAGAGGACAGGACTATAAATAAAACACATATGCAGATCAGTGCAAAACACACTCTTTTCTGGAATGGTTATGTCTTGATTGGAAGATGTCCATGATGCCCTGCAAACCTTACTTTTCTTATCAGCAAGACAAAGTTAGCATTATTCAGCTTTTGTTTAATGACCATAAACTGTGATCTCTCGGGTTACTAACCAGAGGTCAGAAAAGACATCGTTCAGATTAACAGTACCTGTGGTGCACATTAGCGTGAATGGATTATAGACTGTTCGTTATGAGGATAATATGTGGGAAACAAGTCAGTATTTTTTCTATTCTGTTGGTGATGCCAATCATGCAAAATTACACACTAATGCTGAGGTGACATTTACTGTTGTTTAAAAAATCTGTGAAATTTAATGGACGAAATCCACTCATGGCAATAGGATTAGATTTTGCTCGTATTCAGGTTTGTCTAACGAATTTGCAGCACTGACCAACAGAATGCTGCTTGGTTTAAAAGTGAATTCTGTGTGAGCCGTGCTTCATACATTGCTACACTATAGACAATGGACGATTTTTGCATGCGACATTTCACTAATGTGACCGCACTTTTAACTTCTAAATCCATAAAAGCCACTAATTTGAATTCTTAAAAAAAACTTAATTCTAAGAAAAATACCATGCTTTTGTTGGGGGCTTAAAAGGATAGTTCACCAAAAATTGTTAATTCTGTCACCATTTACTAACTTAAACTTTAATTCCAAAGCTGTATGCCTTTTTTTCATTACTCCAAATAATGTTTCAGCATTTTTTTCTCAAAATAATATTTAATGGGGTCCAAAACCACATACCCTAATGTACCCTAATGACTGTCACTGTATGGACAAAAAAAGAAAAGTCATACAGGTTTGGAACAACATGAGGGTGATTAAATGATAACAGAAATTTCATTTTTAAGTGAACTATCCCTTTTAGCAGGACTACATCTTGATGTCTGCCCTTTTGGGAGAGAGAGGGGTGAGCTCTCGTTGGGAACGTTTGGTGCTGGAAACAGAGGAGGTGGAGGCATTGGCAGCAGTGTGCTGGTGATGTAGGGGGCGGCGTGGGTGCAACGGTCCCCACCGGAACAACAGGACATCCCTCACTGCTGCTCTAAAAGGTTTGCTGACAAAACAGTACAGAAAGAAATTCACAGCAGTGTTTAGCATGGCTAACATGTTGGCCAAGTCATATGCTAAATGTACCCGCCAATCGTTGTGCACCGATGACACATAGAGATGGTAGAGCACCACTGCGGTACGAGGCGCCCACAGTACAGCAAACACAGAAGTCACTGCTAGGAGCATAGCTGTGGTTTTACCCAGCTTGCCTGGCACTGCCAGCTGCTGCCCGCTCTCATCTTGGCACTTCTGCTGTCGCTGTCTCTTCCGGAGCTTCAGGATGATCAAGGAGTTTAGCACCAGGAAGATGAAGCATGGAAGAAAATAAATAATAGTCACGTGGGTCCAAATCAAGGCAGTATCCAAGTTGTTGGGCGCACGGTTGACCCTCCACATGTCCGACCACCAGAAGAACGGCACGCCGGATGCTAGCGCCAATGTGAGCACCACTGCGATGATCCGCCGGGCTCGTGCTGGGTAACTGATCTGCCGGTGGAGTAGTGGGTGGCACAAAGCGACATAGCGGTCCACCGTGAGGGGTACGGTGGCCCAGATGGATGCGTGGTTGGCGGAAAACTCCATCATACTGACCGACCTCAGCAGCAGCACAGGGACGTCTCGGTGAAACACGGCCGTTTCCAACAGGAAGCCCACGAAGATGATGAACAGCTGACTGAGGATGTCCGAGCCAGTAAGAGCAAGAAGATACACGTACAGGGCCTTCTGAGTACGAACAGACAGCCGGTAAAGAGCCACCAACGTCAGGATGTTCACTAGGGAAAGGAAACAACTGGAATTAGAAAGAAGGATTGAGGTAGAGGAGAATTGACAAGGCATAAACAGTTAGGGAATGAGGCCAGAGAAGGGAGAGGCATAAGACGGAGATAGAAATCAAGGGCATGGAGGGAGTTGACACAGCAGGATTGATGGGAAGTAAAAGATTAGGGGGTCATATTTACAGAACATGGCGGCCCACGGTAACCTTTGCCCTGATTTTCCACAAAGAAAAGATTAAACTCAAGTGAATTTGTGCTGTTTTTGCTGGTTGACACAACAGGACATAAGTGTATTTTAAGTGTTTTTAAAGATTTATATAGTGAAACAATTTATAGAAAAGACATGTCTCTATTACCCAAGGGACAGCAGAATGAAATTGGATAAAAAAATTGAGAATTTAACTAAACTGAATCAAATAAAATGAAAATATGATTTATTCTCATTCATATTCATTGTGTTCCAAAAACATATGTTGTTATTTTTTCCATCAAACTTTACTTACCACACACAGTAGAAAAGCCTTTGGATAGTTCATCCAAAAATAAAAATTCTGTCATCATTTGCTAATGCTTAAAATATCTCAGAATTTTTGTGTCCATACAGTGATGTTTTGGATCCCTTTAACTTTCATTGTATGGACAAAAAATTTTAAACTTTCTTCTAAATGTCTGTTTTTGTGTTCTGCAGAAGTAAGAAAGTCTTACAAGTTTAGAATTACGGGAGGGGAAGTAATAATGACAGAATTGTCATTTTGGGTAAACTAAAGAGATCTTATATTAGACAGCTATTAAATTGATTTGAATTGGCTGTTGTGAACTCAGAAACTCAATTCCATTGTACTTCCCTAAATTAAATGCAAAATTTAATCTTGATTCTTAACTTAAAATGCATTCTCAATTCAATTCTCAATGATCCACGACCCTGGTGTTAATTGACCCATATTA